AGCAGTTACCAGATGTGTGCTATCGTCATAACTGGTAAGATAATTCAAAATCATCCAATCAAATTTCTTCAGTTCGATCGTATGATGATGATCAAACGCAAAATTAAATCAACCCGAATTTTATGGTGCAATTGAAAGGCTGAACAACGCAAACACCTTTTTAACATCAACTTCTATTTCGTTTTGACCACGTGCATGTCCTAGCTAGCTATGCCAACGCAAGCCTTCACAGGTTTCCGCTACAAAAAGAACATCACGAAGCTTAGCTAGACTCTGTACAATCATGTACATGTACGTACATTCATTTCATTTAGTCTGTTTATACTTTGGTCTGTAAAATCGCATCTAGTGTAAATGCCTTCCTGTAAAACGCATGAAGGAAGACTGCAGATTTAGGTGTAAGCTTAAGTTTATGATTTTTCCTATTAAACTTAGTTCAAAATTCTACGTACCTTGTTTCCGAACGTTAGCTTCAGCTGACAAAGTATTTTTCAAGTTCAGTGCCACTGTCTCTGCCATCTTACTTTAGTGAAGCAGTAAAAAGAAACTACAAATCTCGGTGTTTGAAATCCAACTAAAACGATTTAGAATGGAAAAATTCAAGGAAAGATCGTTTCACAACTAGCAGCGTTTTCAAATCTTCACGAAATGCGCCATTGGATTTGCGCATGTCACATTTTCAACCTCACATGTTTCGTACCCAGTCTACTATCAGGACAAAAATAGCTTCCCGTTCATTTTTATTTCATTTGTTTTTTCCCAAATCTGTTATGTAAAAAATTGCAGCAGGTTCTGCTTTCCTTTTCATCTGTAAAAAGAACTACTATTGCTTCAGATTGTCCAGATAATTTGAAAAAGTACACCTCATTTAAATTTGAAAAAGTAAATCTCATTTGAATTTGAAAAATAAATCTCATTTTCCCAGATCTGTTTGAAAAAAATTGCGGCCGATTTTTCTTTCCTTTTCACCTACAAGACCTACTAATTCAGATTCCCCAGATAATTTGAAAAGTAAATCTCATGAAAATGGAGAAAAGTGCTTCAAGCAAATGATAAGAGGTACCATGTATACGCAAATGTTTGGAATTTCTTAGTTTAAAAATTATCGTGATAATGGTATCCAACCCCATTTTCATGGTCTTTTCCCTTACCTCAGCCTTGTGCATCAGTCCTCATTATTTTTATCTCAGGTGAAGATACTGGGTGGACTTTATTTATTTAATTTGCAAGTCTAAAATCATAGCCCCTTTGTTGATTGTCTCATAAAAAGAGCCAGCAGTCAAAAAAGGAGATCATTAGCTTAGCTGTGTTGGAATACCTTAATAGCATAGATTTTCCTAGTTTTATTTCTCCAATGTTTGCTTAGTTTAGTTCCACTGAGAAGACATATCAACCACTTGAGACGCAGCATTTTACCACATTTCCACACACATTGGACTCGGAGTTGTCAAAAATACTGCACTACTCTCTTCTAGGTGTTTGGAAATGCAGATAACATAGTCACTCATGTTCAGTTAATATTGTTTCTCTCATTAAATTAATTTAACTGAATGGGGTGTAACCCAAATACTAGAAACTAAAATGACCCACTACCACCCCCTAACAAATGTATACACACTTGAAAGGCTGGATTACAAAATACTTTTATTGTCTTAAAAGCAACATTACAGTGAAGAAACGTTTCTAATAATAATGACACATGTACAATATGAGTCTTGACTTTTTATCTAAACACTTGGTTTCTTCTTGTCCTGAGGCAATAAAGACCATTGAATGCTAAAATTTCTGTACCTGAAGAAGACAGTAAACAACAAATGTGTAAATAAAAAATACAGTAACTACAATACAAATCAATGATTTGCTCATGTACATTTTATGAAGAAGGCCTTAATTTCATTTGTCTCTAATGCAGAAGGCTAGGATCAGGGAATGAGGCAGTGTGCCAATAAAGGAGAAGAGAAAAGAAAGGAGAATTAGATGCTGATGGCTACTTGCAAATGAAAGGAAAAAACTTCTGATTACTCTGTCTTGTGAATCACTGTTAGATTATCACTGAGTTTAATAATCATTCAAAGAAATTTAGTTTACAAGTATGATTAATCTGACATAACTCCCTGCAACTAATTTACTATCAAAACTATGAAAGTTAATAATAACTACATGAAATCTGGAATCACTAATGTATCAAGTTCAAATTTTAGGGTTATCACTTTGATCTGACCAAAATACAAAGAACTGCACAACAAGGTCACTGCATTTTGCAGCCCTTTAGGTAGTCATCATTTTCAGATAATCATTTTCTGTTTATAATGAATAACTAATAAATTGCCTTATCATCAGGTTTGAATAAGTAAGTTAAGTAGGTAACAGGAAGAAGTAGGTAAGTAGCATCTGTAATTGCATCGTACTGTAGGTAGTGTAAGTAGTGTAAGTAGTTGTATTACTGTTGTAAATAGTTATTACTGTTGAATTAGTAGTTGTATTACTGTTGTAAATTGGGTAAGTAGACATACTAGTTTTGTAAGTAGTGTGAATCACAAAAAAATCAGGTTTGAATGCTGCATGCACAATAAAATTCCTGTTGATTGTACTGCACTGGCCTACAACCTAGACTATTCTCACAAATGATTTAACCGTGAGCCATGGTATACTTACTAACTTAGTTATTTAAAGAGGGGTTACAAAGACTATGGAACGTCCCAGGTGGAATAGCTACATCACGCACCTATGAAAAACTTACATGTTAACATTGAATCAAATTACTCTTCTTTCCTCTTAGGATTATTGACTGCTACAAAGTGATACAGAACAACAAGAAGGAACAGCGACACTCCCAGAATGTTTGCAAAGGCTGCTAGTTGAATATCTGTGATCATGGCTGAAATCAATTAACGTAAACCATTAATACAACTGGGGAGGAAGGCCTGGTGAAATGGAATTGGGGTAAAATTATTTGTGGGGAAAAATGATTCATGAAAATGAAAACTTGTTGCTATCTTTGCTCTTGTGAAACTTATTCAACTTATTTAAATTTGTAGTACATTTCTAAATTAAACGTAATTCAGATCATAAGGGACGAAATTGTCACGATTGAAACAAGAACACGCTTATCAAGCTGAGCTAGGACCTCAGCTCTTTAAGCTTCAATACGTACACGAGCATGCGAAAGTAAACAATTGTGGATCACAGAAACTTCCGTTGAAGTTCAGTATACTATCTACGATGGTTTTATCCAGGCAGTAAGCTACAGGGAAGATTTAGAGAGCAAGAATATTCTATCATCCTATCAAAAGACAAATAATCGCTAAAAGAGGAGCGAATGTTGCAGACGAAGAGTACACGTGTAAAAGTTTTCGTGCAAGCCTAAGCAGAGAAACTTAACATTTGTAACACAAGACATATAAAGAGAACTAAAGTAGAGTAACTTACCTCTTTTAAGGGGAATTGATGGACTAAAGAGCTTCAAAATTGTCCTTTGTTCTTCAAATCAGACCTTCCAATTCCTGTTGGACACGAAAAAGGTCGAGAACTGCAATGTAGATTGGGACGAGGTTGTGTACCGCAGGGGGTTCTGGGGATTTTCTTTTCTTCAAACATGGCGACACCGGTACTGCAGAGAGTTCGGCAAATTATGCAGTCTTCACTCACATCGAAAGGATTTGACAGATTAGCAAAAACGGTAAAAGAAGGAAATATTTCATGTTATTTTCTGGCAACACGACAATAATTTTTTGGGGGGGAAGGTGCCAGCATCAAGTGCGTTCACCCCACACCCCCGGCCCAACCTGCTTGTAACTTTAATTTGAAACAATTTTTCACAAGGTAAACTTTACTCATTATTTCATAATTTTTAATTAATCGTTACTTGTACAGGTTGAGCTACTATCACTTCAAGAAGGCAAAGCTTCATTCAAAATGAAAGTGGATGAAAGTCATTTGAATGGGGTGGGCACTCTTCACGGTGGCATGACAGCATTCTTGGTTGATAATTTAACTACTGGCACGGTTCTCACTAAGCCACCTCATTTACCAGGTGTTAGCATTGATATGAGCATAAGGTAATGTGAGAGTTGTTTTGTTTCCAAGAGCTCAGGCCTAGGGGGGTACTCCCATATATAAAAAGGACTGGGTGCTCTTCAGAAATTTTGAAAAGAACCCCTAAGAGGTACCATGCTTTGTGGGCTCAGCTTGAATTTTTTTTTTTTCACCCCTTAGAGGTGTAGTCCCTTTCACAGCGTAACGATTTTTTGAAACACAGTTTCTGCTAAAGTGGGGCACATTTGTGGAATAGCCTTCCATCTAACGTCAGAACCATTAGATCTGTTATCAACTTTAAAAATGTGATTAATCACCAACCTCGTACTCCCACACAGCAAACATGTAAATAAGTTTTTTAAAAAAGAAATCTTACAAGTAACTGACTGCATTTAAATAAAGTGTGTATGTATGTATTAGGGTTGTTTTGCAACGCTTC